TTCCCTGACAGAGCAGGTTGGGGTACAGAAGCCTGTGAAATGAATAGCTCGGGATGGAGACGCATTACTGACTGTTAGCAAAATCACTCGATCTTCCATTCTTTGTACCTACCCCAGTGGAGATGACCTGTTGTTTCCCTCTAAGAGAAGCTGTCTCTTCATGTTCTGCCTCCTGTGAATACACCACTAGTTCCCTAGAGGATAGACATGTCCTGTACCGGCCACCATAGGAGACAGAAAAGCCATACAAGTGTGGCCAGGTTCACGAGGATGAGAGGGCCTGTTAGAAACAAACAAACAACAAAACAAAACAAAAAACCCAAAACCAACAACAACAAAATGATCCGGCCAGCCTGGCTTGTAATCCCAGAGCTCAAGAGGTAGAGGAAGATCAGAAGTTCAAGGTCATCCTTGGCTATTTATGGGTTTGAAGCTACTTTGAGCTACAAGAGATGCTACCCCAAAAACAAAAAGATCTGGTCAAATCTGATACCTGTCAACAGAATTCGGGGAAGTCTCTAAAAACCTAAAGGAATGGGCGTGTTTGGAGAAGTGTGACTACAGGGCCCCAGCCAGGTGGACAGAAGCAAAAGAGGCCAGGAAAGGGCTAGGTGGATCGGAATAGAAATGGAAAAGTGGGCCTTCCCAGAGAAGGAAGATGGAATAGTGTCAAGGTCAGCTGGGAAGAGAACGGCTACATGATTGTGGAAAGGCTATCGATAGCAGCTAATTACAGCCAGACATGACGGCACAGGCACATAGTCCCTCCCTTTCAGGAAGCTGAGGCAGGAAGGTCTCTTGAGCCCAGGAGTTGGAGGCGGGGAGCCTGGACAACATAACAAAACCCTGCTTTCAGAAAAAAAAAAAAACAAACCAGAAAATATACATGGTGTAGCCTGTGTTCTGAGCACTGCTCTGGAGACCTGAAGACATTTATTGAATTGTCACCCAGATCTTGGAATGTCACTGTGAGCATCTCCATTTTATACACAGGACACTGAGGCATAGGAAGAGGCTGAGGAGAAGACCCGGGAGGCCTTGCATCGTCTGGGCTTCTAAGTCTTCTCTCTTGTTCCCAGCAGCACTGGGCAGAGGGGTGGCAGAGTTCCGCAGCCTACTTGGCAGAGAAGCAGCATGTAGTTAAGAACGGGAACTTCCAGAGACTGGGAGGTGTGCTCAGCACCTAAGACCACTTGCTGCCTTTCCACTGGACTCAAGTTTGGTTCCCAGAACCTACATGATAGCTCACAGCCATCTGTAACTCCAGTTCTGGGGGATCTGACACCCTCTTCTAGCCTCCATGGTGCACATACATACATACATGCAGGCAAAAACCCTCACACACAAAGTAAAATCAATAAACTAAAAAGGAAGATGTTTTAAATGTGAACTTTCAGAGGCCCCCTCTCAATCACCAAAGAGGCCTTGGCTAGGATCTAACTTAGTACTCAGGCCACCCCCTTGGAGAGACATGAAGAGTAGCTGAAGCGTGTAGGTAAAAACACAAACACAGCACCGTGCCCTGAGCCTGGATATGGCTTCTCTGCTTGCTGAGATGAAAGAAGCATCTTGGGTGCTTAGCAACCAGCCAGCCTCAACTTCCCACCCTCAAGAAATACTGGAGCAGGGCCCTCCCAGGAACCAGCTTCTTAAGGGCACACCATCCTGCAAACAGGCTCCCCAAAACCCCAGCACACACAGCACAGCCCCCTCCCTGGAACAGCACTCCTCTAGCTCTGTTCTGTCAACCCTAGAAGTTCCCAGGCTCTGGGAGCAGCCCCTGGTGCTGAGGCTCCTTGAATTATTCCAGGAAGGATGTGTCACCACCCTCCTCCCCAGCCTCCTGCTGTCCCCCAAACCCCTGTTTTTCTCTTTATGGAGAGGGCACAAATTAAGCAGAAAGGAAAATGTTGACAGTTCCCAGCCCTCCCTTGCTGGGGATAAAGGGAAGTACGCTAACGGTTGAAGCTTTAGGCGGATCAAACACAGTTTGTGAGATGCTTCAAATGTATTATTCATCTCACCAATGAGATGCAATCTTGGGCTTTCTTCCCCCACCCCCATCAAGAGGAAACCTCAGCTACTATGGAGATGCAGGGCTCCAGAGGAGAGAGGCACCTTCAGAAAGCCATCTTTCTATACTAAATCAACAAGTCTTTCGTAAGACCATCTTGTTTCTCTAAACATTTCCAAATGACACGGGTCCACTTGCCAGAAAGCTAAAGGGGCTAAGGTTCAAGGCAAGACACAGAATTGGGTGTTCAGAATCAAAGAGAAGTCTGATTTTGACTTTGAGGGGGTGCAGCAGCTAGAGATATTGGTTCTAGAAGGTCTTCTACTGTGCCGTACAAACTTGACCAGATGTGACGCTAAAAGGAGCCATTGAAGCCATGCCTTCAGCTCTGTGACATTAACTCACAGATATGGAACATCTAGGGGAAAGATCTAGATCTGTCCTGGCTGCCTAACACATTGATCTTATAATTCAGACTCCTGGAAG